GAGGCCTCTTGGGCAAGCTTTGGGCGATCTTTGGGGCTTTTTGGGCCGTCTCGGGCCAGCTTCGAGCCAACTTCGGCCATCTTGGTGGGTTCCTGGCACGTCTGAAGCCGTCGGAAGCCGTTTGGGGGGCCTCTATGGGCCGACTTGGGGCCCGCTTGGAATGCTCCAGGGCCGTCTTGGAGGCCATCTTGGGCGTCTGGGAGGCCATCTTGGGCGTGTTGGAGGCCTCTTGGGCCCTCTTGGGGCCCTCTAGGGGCCATCTTGGAGGCCACTTGGGCCATCATGGGGCTCTCTTGGGGGCCTCTTGGGCGATCTTGGGGGCTTCTTGGGCCGTCTCGAGCCGTCGGAGAGCCGAAAAGGCGCAAATGCCAGAATCCTTCAAAAACCAAGGAAAAATCAATGATTTTGGCCTCTTCGGACTCTCCTGGAGGACCTCTTGGAGGCCTCTTGGGCCGTCTGGGAGGCCTCTGGGGGGCCTCTTGGGCCGTCTTGGGCCGTCTTGGACTCTCTTGGGCCGTTTTGGAGGCCGTCTTGGACCATCTCGGGCGGACTTGGAGGCCATCTTGGGCCATCTTCGCGATTTTTTGAGGATGTCCCGAGCGAAACGGCCGTTTTTTGGAGGATTTTTTCCGGTCGTTGAGCACGTTTGGGGGCCTTCCGGGTGGCCGGCGGGTTCTGCCGGAGCCCACTGGGGAGTTCTTTTGGAAAAAGAACCAAAACCAAAACCTGAAACATCCAGCACGCCGTGCACCCCTGCAAGCAGGGGGCGGCGGATCTAGTGGCCTTCGGTCTATCTCGCCACCGTGCCTGGGTTGTAGGTCCGATGCCTCCTGGATGCGTGTGAGGATCTCTTGGGCTGCCTCTCGGATGCCTCTTGGAGGCGGTGTTGGGGGTGTCTTGGGGCGTGTTGGGGGCCTCTTGGGGCCTCTTGGGCGCACCTCTGGGACTTGTAGGGGGATCTTGGGGCCATCTTGGGGCGGAGGGCTCAAAGTGCGAGTTCGTGTTCCCCACCTCGGGCCCCTCTTGGGGCCGTCTTGGGGGCCTCTTGGGCCCCTCTTTGGGGCTCTTGGGCTGTTTTCAGGCGGTCTTAGTGGCCTCTTTGGTTCATGGCGCTTTGAAGATTGAAAAGGTGGTAATGGACAAAAAACCATACAACAACCACTCGGGAATTTCACGATTGTGGCCTCCTGGGCCGCCCTCCAGGGCATCCAAGACGGCCCAAGAGGCGCTCGAGAGGGTTCCAGGACGATCCCCAGGGCCATCTGAAACCACGTTGGGCAGGCACGTCCCGAAAAACGAGCCCTTCACGCGCCTGGAAACATCGCGAGGGGACCCCCTCGGGAGCGCGCCAGGAGCCGCGAGAGCGCCCCAGGAGCTCCCTGGGAGCCCCTGGGACTCTGGGCTGTGCACATTCTTCATTTCTAATTCTTCGAACGTTCTTTCATTTGTTTGGGGGGGGGCAAGACCCTTTCAGTTCTAAGTGTTTTACCCTGGGCCTCTTCCTGGCCACTAGGGAGCCAGGAACAGCTAGAAACGAGCACACTTAGAACGAGCACGATTATAACTGAACGACGTGTAATTCAATGCGCAGACCTCGAAGGGACCTCAGGGCACTCCAGCTCGTGTCTCAGAGAACGGTGGCGGATACTGCCCCAGCGAGGTCTTCGACATGAATGGGGATGGCGCGATATCGTGGGACGAGTTTCGCATCACCATGGAGGACTCTGGGCACGTTTGCGAAGTGTGCAGGGACAGGACGGGGATAACGGGATCGAGAATCGAGAACGCGGGAGTATGGTGAGCAGGAGCGGACGTATCATAGTAAGCAGAGATGGGCTTGGGAGTAGGAATGGGATGCGTGTTCGGGATGGGAGTGGGAGGGAGTGGTAAGAAGATTTTGAGGTCACATGATTAGCTTGCCCAGCTCATGGATCTTGAACCGACACGAGCTGCGAATGGGTACACTTATACGAATATTAAGACGAGCGTGCTGGGTGGAGATGGCGACGAACGTTGGTAGCACGCGCAACATTTACGTTAGCCAGCGTGGACCTCAAGCCGTGGTTTCGTGCCATGCATGCGGTGGATTTTCCTTGGTGCGATCTAGGGAATCTGCGTGGTGCAACCCATGTGGTGCAGTCTATGTAGCACACAGCAATACGAAGCAATGCAACGCAATGAAACGCAATGCAATGCAGTGTACTGAATGACATGCACTGCAATGCAGTGCAATGAAATGCAGTGCAATGCGATTGCAATGCGGAGTGATGTAAAGCATTGCAGCGCAATGTAACCCAATGCAAATACATGCAATGTCAGCGGTTGCAATGCAATTCGAAGTAAATTGTTCCGATGCAAAGCACTGCAAAGCAAAGAAAGGCACTGCAATGCATTAATACAACATACGAACGCAATTCAATGTAATGCGAAGTAGTTCACTGCGATTCACAGCAATGCAAAGCGATGCAAAACTGTGCAACACAATGCACAGCAATGCACTTACATGCGCAGGAACGCACAGCAATGCACAGCAATTCACAGCACTGCAAGTGAATGCAACACAATGCAAAGGCATTCAAAGCAGTGCAACGCGATTGCAATGCGATTGCAATGCAATGCAAGGCAAGGCAATGCGGTTGCAATGCAGAGCAACGCGACGACGGGCGGCGACGAGCAGGCCGGACCGCCACTGGGACCCAGCTGCGACGGCGGCGACGGGTTGTGACGGGTGGCGACGACCGGCGACGAGCTGGCCAGGGCGGCACCGAAGCTCAGTTACCGCAGAGGACAAGCGAGGACCCCTAAGTGCAAGCACGGTTTGGTGAATAATATCGCCCGCCCAAAGGGATTGGCTGCGTTAGCAGTGTAGATTCTGTCTTGGGGGATGCGGAGTTAGGTGGCGCAATAGGGGAAGGAGCCTGGAGGAGGAGGCGACGAAGGAATCGCAGTGTCTGCAGAGGGGGAGGGCTATGATGAAGCTGCTGATGATGATGCTGATGATGATGCCGATGCTGATGCTGATGCTGATCTTGATGCTGATGTTGATGCTGAGGGTGCCGATGATGATGACGATGATGCTGATTGATGACGGTGATGAAGATGATGCTGACGCTGCTGATGTGTTGATGGTGCAGATGATGGTGATGATGATGAAGATGATGATGGTGGTAGTGATGGGTGTATTCAGTACGTGAAGCAGGCACTGAAGGGAGCATCGCCGCATGGCCACTGCCACTTGTGCTCAAGCTCTGAGTCAGGGCCCCCCCATTCCTTTCCATGCAAGCCGCCCTCCGCCATATTGCCGGGCGATTCGCTGAGGGGGTCTCGACGGGCCTTGTCGTGTGGGCTGGGCGGCCTACTTGCCCGCACTGCGAGTGCTCGCCGGTGCTGCACTGTCCACCTCTGACCTGCTCGACTGGTGACGTGGCCTACACCTCGCCGCTGACCCCGCTCGCGCTGCTCGTCACGTGTGCCTGTGTGGCGGTCGTGGCTTTCTCGGCTGGTCGCTTGACGGGTGTGAGGGCTAGGACAGAGCTGAACCCCGAGGACCTGGACGCGACGGCCCGAGCTCAGGTGGCGCAGTATCGGTCGAAGGCTTTGGCACAATGATGCCGCCTGCAGCCGCTGGTGGCCACCCGCTCACTGTCTCTCACGACCTGCAGGTGGGCGATTTTTGCGTGGTGAGGTACAATGTCGGGGGCCCCTATCTGTACCACGAGCGGCTGGTCACCTACCTGCCGCTTGGAGCTGGGTTGACCGTCTCGGTCACCACCCCCGACGGTGACGAATATGAGGAGGTATGGAGCATGCCAGACATCGTCGAGTGGGAGCCACTGCCGAATCGACAGCAAGGAGGCGTCCTACTGGGTCGGCCTGGAGCTCGATACTACCGCTTCCGGGTTGGCGCGATGCCGACCATTGCGAGCCTCACGGCAGCTACCACGGCCGCGGCCGCCCGCCTCGGCCAGCCCGCGCCTGTGGGGCCCGTGGCGCCAGCTCTCGGCGGGCGCATCGCCGAGCCGCCAGCGGGAGGTGCCATTCCAGGTGCGCCCGCGGCCGGAGGCGCTGCCCCACCGCCCGGTGCTGTGCCAGGCCCGCCGGCGGCGGGCGCCGCCGCCGCTCTCGGAGGCGTGGCCCCAGGGGCTGGGCTGGGTGGCCTGGTGGCAGCGCTCGGCGGACCAGCAGCAGGAGCGCCCGCAGTTCTTGTCCCCGCTCCTCTTCCGCCGGCTGCCCCTGCCGCCGCCGGCGGCGCGGCCGCCGTGGCCCCAGGGGTCGGCGCGGCGCCTGCCGGTGCTGCCGTCGGCGCGCCCTCGCTCGGCGCGGCAGGCGCGGCTGCAGTCGCTGCACCTCTTCCCGTGGCCTTTGGGGGCGTTCCCGCCGCGGCGGTGCCCGCTGTCGGCCACGTCCAGGATGCACGGACGCTCCCAGTGGTCTACGACATGGTGGGCAACCGTCGGCGTGAGTTCCGCGACGCGGTGCTGGCATGCCGGGAGGACCAGTGGGAAGGGTGGCCGGTGCGCGGCCCCCGCACCACCCACTGGGTCCTCTGGTGCATCGTCGACCACGGCGGAACCCCGACCGGGATGCACTCTCGGTGGCGGAGCGAGGCTCGTCTCCAGGAGCACGAGCCAGGAGTGCAGGAGCATGAACGTGCCTGCAGGGCGCTGGAGGAGCTGCTCTGTTTCGACCAGTGCAACGGGGCGAACCTTGCGGCTGCTGAGCTGCTGGCGCGCACCATCCAGGTGCAGCAGGAGCGCCACCGGGACAGGAGCGCTGGCGGCACGGCCAGTGGCGGGCACGACAACGTGGACGCCCACCTCTTCATGGGCAGCGAGCTCACCAGGGGAGGCGCGTGCGTGTGCCCGCTCCTCCAGGAGTGGGCCAGCCTTCAGCTGGCCAAGGAGCAGGCGCTGCTGAAGGAGCGCCGCAAGGCGCGCGAGGAGAGGGAGCTTGCAAAGAAGGGCAACAAGAAGAATAACAACAGGGAGGAGGAGGGGTGATGTTCCCCTCGGTCGCGCCTGGTTCAGGCGGCCAGCGCGACTCCTTGACTGAGACGCCTGTGGACCGTGGTGCCTCTAATGGTCCGATCAACAGAAGGGTTTTTGACGCGCTGGGACATAGTGCTCGCCAACGTGATGTTTTTCCGCTGCCCCCTCTGCGCCGGGACCATGCCGGCGCGGCGGGCCGCCAGGATCTGTCGCGGGTCACTCGGCGGCGTGGCGCGGCCACCAAGCACATCCTTGACTGGGGCGACGAGTGTATCAACGCCCTGAATGACTTGTATGGCCACCAAGGACCGGCCAGCGGTCCCCGCCAATGCAGCCCAGCGGCATGCAGTGGATCACGTCGAGTCTCAAGTACGCGCGCTTGGCAAGCCCCCACCTGAGGCAGGTTTTCGCGAGGGGGCCCTACGTGAGCTCCTCGCAGGGGCGGGGATCTACCAGACGGGTGATCTCTCCTCCCGACGGCCGTATGTCAAGGAGTCCATATCCTGGCCCTCGCCCGACCTGCAGCCAGTACCACTGACTGCCTGCCTTGGTGAGGCCGAGTCTGAGTGGCTGGGCCGCTGGCAGAGCACCTTGCTCAGGCCGGATAGACCTACAGCTGCTGAACGTACTGAGTTCTGCCCTCACGGACCTTTTTTTCGACCCCAGTCTCTTCAGTAAGCCTCTGCCCTACGCCGATTTTGTCGCCAAGTTGCTGGCTCGCGGCACGGTGGAGCTGAAGAGGGACTGTGATGCAGCCACCGTCGGCTGCTTCTTCGTCGCAAAGAAGAACAAGAAGCTGAGAGTGATATTTGACACGAGGCATGCCAACCTATTTTTTGGTCGACCGGCTCGGACTGCGTTGCCGACTGCGACGGCCCTCGCTGATTTCGAGAACCCTGGGCGCGACACCTACCTGGCCTCGGGTGATATCGACGACGCATTCTACAGACTACGATTGCCTGACGGGCTGTCGTCATACTTCAGACTGCCCGCCCTGGATGCCAGCCTGCTCGGGGTCACGCACCTGGACGGGGCCCCGCTCGCGCGAGGGGCGCGAGTGCAGCCCTGCGTGTGCGTCTTGCCGATGGGCTGGAGCCACGCGCTGGCCCTCTGTTAGGGCGTGCTCCGACGCGCCATGGCCGCCGCGGGGTTCACCGTGGACCAGTGCGTCGAGGACGGGAAGGCGGGGGTCGTGGTCGACCGGGAGGGCGCCGTGGCGGTTGCCGGCGATGTCGACAACTACGCCGCCCAGGGACGCTCCCCTGCCCTTGTCGACCAGGCCGCCCTCGCCATCACGCGCGTGCTGACGGAGAAGGGGCTTCTCACTCACGATGAGGAGCCTGCCGCGCGGGACGCCACCTTCGTAGGGCTAGAGCTGAAGAGAGGGCGACATCTTTCCATCAAGGCCAGGAGCATTTGGAGACTTCGCTTCGGGTTGGACGCTTTGCTCAGAAGAGGTTTTTGTTTTGGAGACGCCCTCAGGGTCATCATTGGACATTTTACTTGGGCAGGTTTGATACGACGAGAAGTCCTCTCTTTGCTCAACGCCAGTTACCAGTTTGCCGAGCGGATCGGGTCTCGGCAGGCGCGTCTTTGGAGATCAGTGCGACGCGAGCTCTGGCAAGCACGCTGTATCTTACCGCTGCTCAGCGTTGACGTCAGCGCAGGGTGGTGGCCAGAGGTAGCCGCCTCTGATGCGTCGCTGTTCGGTCTCGGTGTCACTGTCCGAAAAGCTCCCACTTCACTGGTCTCTTCGATCGGCCGACGCAGCGAGAGGCGGCGCTTCCGGGTTGAGGGGGCCCAGCGGGCTCGCGAGCATGCTCTCCATCAGGCAGCTGGTAGCCCCGACGAGGCCCTCGAGAACCTGCTGGTCGACAACCCCTGTGGCCTTCGACGAGGTCCCCCTCGGCTTCCTGAAGTCCGACACTTGGAAGGTTGTTCACGCTTCAAAGGTTGCTGGGTCCACCGACGTCCTAGAGCTGGAGGGGGAGGCGCTCCTTATGGCTATTCGACATACGCTCAGGAACATTGGGGCTCTTGGGAAGAAGATCCTGTTTATAGTGGATAACCTACCACTGGCCCTAGCGGCCACCAAGGGGCGGGCGAACTCTCGATATCTCCGGCATGTGCTTCAGAAGATGGCTGCTCTATCGCTGACCACAGGATGTAAGATAGTTGTGCGTTGGGTACCATCTGAACTCAATCCTGCAGACCATCCGTCTCGAGGCGATCACGGTTTCTTCACTACTCCATACCACGTACATGTTTCCCGGCCCCATGGTGCCGCGCCGGCGGCCAGCTGCGGCGCAGGCCGCGGTCGAGCGGGCACAGAACGCCCAGCTCGCGGTGGCCTCGACGGTGCAGACCTTCGGCCTCGATCTCGGTCCTCGAGTCCGCGGCGATCCGCCCGAACACGCAGAGGCAGTACCACGACCGCTTGGCGACGCTGGTCCTCTTCTGCCGGATGTACCGCCTGGACTGGGACAGTTGGGAGTCGCTGGACAATGCCGTCACCGCGCTGCTGAATCACCAGTTCCTGGACGGCAAGTGCTCGGACCTGGGGGCACAGCTGATCGCGGCGCTCTCCCACGTCTTCCCGGGCCTGGCCCGGCGCAGCGGGCTGTGCCTGCCGCGCGCGTGCCGAGCGGCCAGTGCCTGGAAGCGACGGGCTCCTGGGCGCTCGAGGCTGCCCATGCCCAAGACCGGGGCGGCGGCGATCGCAGGGGTGATGCTGTACCTCGGCCGTCGCCGGATGGCCGTCTACACCATGCTGACCTTCATTTGCTATCTCAGGCCGCTGGAGGGGATCGCGCTGCTGGGGAGGCACCTGGTCGCCCCCGTGTCGGCGGCAGGAGCGAGCTACGCGAGCTGGGGGCTGCTACTCCACGACTTCGAGCTCGGCCAGCCCTCCAAGACCGGCACGTCGGACGACGCGGTGCTCGTCGACCAGGACAGCTGGATCCTCCCTGTGCTGGCAGGGCTCCAGGCGGCCACGCACGCGGACGCCTCGCTGTGGGACTTCGACGCGACGGAGTTCAGGGTGACCTTCAAGGCCGCTGCGGAGCTGCTGGGGTTGGGGCAGCTCGCTCCACACCCCTACTCGCTTCGCCACGGCGGAGCGTCGGGCGACCTCCTGGCCGGACGCCGAAGCCTGGAGCAGGTGCGAGCTCGGGGCCGATGGGTGTCGTCTTCGAGCCTTCGTCGGTACACCAAGGCCACTCGCCTACTTCGCGAGCTGCACGAGGTACACAGCGACCTCTTCAGCTTCGGGAACTTCGTGATGGCCCAGTTCACAGCGCTCGTGGAGCGCGGGCTGGCTGGCCCGCTTTTCGACCAGGTCCCGGCGAGTGTGAGGGCCCTCTTGCTCTCGGGCCCGAGCGCCGGGGCCACGTCCGCCGCCGGCCGCGCGCGAAGGCGGCCGGCAACGTGACCCACCTGGTCGACGGCGGGGACGTCGGCGCCTACCTGGGCAAGAGGCTCGTGGCGAGCCTGGGCCGGGCCGTGCGACTCAGGTCGCTGCTGTTCCTGGAGCTCTTCGGGGGCTGTGGCCGCGTCGCGGCCAGCGCGCAAGCCATGGGCTATGCCGCGCTGAGCCTGGACATCAATGCCTCACCTTTGGAGAATCACTTGACGCCAGCCTTCCTCAACAGGATCCTGGGCTGGATCTCCGGCGGGGTCATCGCGGGCGTGTGGCTCGGCACACCGTGCAGTACCTGGACCCGTGCGCTGCGAGCCCCGCTGCGAACTGAGCAGCACCCTGACGGCTGGCCCGATCTCTCGCCTGAGCAGTGTAGTAAGCTTGACATCGGAAACAGGTCTTTCCTTTTTTCCCTTCATGTCATCCGTGCGTGTTTGAGATACGGGATTGGTGTTGTGATTGAGAATCCGCAGACCAGCCTCATGTGGTCCTCCCCTCGTTTTCAGAAGCTTCTGAACTTAAGGAGCAGCACTTCTGTCGTGTGTCACATGTGTCAGTTTGGCGCACCCTGGAAAAAAGCAACCAGGGTGCAAGCTTGGGGCATCGGAGAGCTGTGGGAACTTTCTAAAACATGCGGTGGCCCTCGCGGCCTGTGCAGCAGAACCCTCCGACCCCACCTCGAACTCAGCGGGCGTGCGCCGGGCGGGAAGCACTGGACAGCCACTGCTGCTGCCTACCCGGCAGCCTTCGCCCGTGCCGCCGCCGCCATCCTCGTTCGCACGTGTGAGAATAAACGCTCCCTGGCTCTCTCTCTCTCTCTCGCAGAATGGGGGTGTAGCCCTGAATGTTTTTTTTCGGCCTTCGGCCAAGTCCGCGTTCGGGTTCGGGATGCGAGGCTCGTCTATCTGTCCAGTGTCTCGCCCTGAAGCCGCGAGTTCGCCGCCGTGCACTGCTCCTCGCAAAGAACATCATCTCTCTTGGCGACGTGGGTCGGAAGAGGCCCTGCTGGGTGTATTCAGTACGTGTATCAGGCACTGAAGGGAGCATCGCCGCATGGCCACTGCCACTTGTGCTCAAGCTCTCCCTCCCCCCCTTTCTCTTCCCCTTCGAGCTTGAGAGTGGCTTTTTCTGGCTGGATGCGAGGCTCGTCTATCTGTCCAGTGTCTCGCCCTGAAGCCGCGAGTTCGCCGCCGTGCACTGCTCCTCGCAAAGAACATCATCTCTCTTGGCGACGTGGGTCGGAAGAGGCCCTGCTGATAATGATGACGACGACGATGGTGATGATGGCGCTGATGATGATGAGGAGGAGGAGTTGGAAGAGGATGATCGATCGATCGATCGAGCTCTCGAGCCACCCCTCAACTTGAGCTGAGCTGCATTCAAACATCTAGTACGGCCTAGCAGTGTTCACTTCGTGGAGAGGAGGTGCTGGTGATGATTATGTTGATGTTGCTGATATGCTGATAATGATGACGATGACGATGGCGATGACGATGGCGATGATGGTGCTGATTGATGATAATGATGATGATAATGATGATGATGGTGGTGGTGGTGTTGCTGATGGTGATAATGCTGATGCTGATGCTGATGT